CCCCAAAACCCCAAAACCCCCAAAACCCCAAAACCCCAAAACCCCTTTGGTCAAGAGAGGATTGAAAAGTTCATAAGATAGCTTATTAAATCCTAACATGGCTAGAAATTAGAAATTCTTAGTGATTTTTTGGGAGGGTTGTGTCCACGAGTCTTTAACTTCTGGAAAAATTTCATTAGGTTTAAATTTCTGTCACGCAACTTCAGCCTTTCTTTTAAGTCCCAGATTCTATGATAAAAGGGAGATATACCTCTCTTTTGTGACCATCATCATTTTTCAATTTTTAGAAATTTTGTGGTAATTAGCAAGCTGAAACACTCGTTGATTATTACTCTCTACAAATACAGTTAAAGATATCTTTACTCGGAGATTTTGTGAAAGAAATTAGTGAACATTTATCATTTAGAGCATCTCAGCTCCTTAGTCGGTGCTTTTCTAAATTCCGCTGGTCTCCATTAGGAGAAAGCACTGTCATTTTATTGGAACGACGTGATGGGCTTTTGATTGCTGATTTATTTCTCTCAAAATCTAAAAATAATATAAATCAGCTGATGTTGATACTCACTTCTACATTGAGCTTCTTGTATTTCAGTGTGTCTTTTTGATTGACGGCTTAATAATGGCTTTGTAAATGATATAAATGTCTTATTTTCCCTCCTTCATTGAGAGTTATTTTTGGACTTTATGCCAGTTCTTGGTCTAAAATTTATTGAAACTGTTAATCATAAAGTTTTGCTAGAATCTTACTCAGTCTCAAACATAATGGTTGAGCTTGATTCGAATGGAGAACTCCCTTCAATAAGAGAGTTATACTTGATCTGAGATTGTGTCATTTTTAAAATAGAGAGGTTGTGCTCTTCTTTAATATTCCCGAACTCCTGTTTCTCGTTACTCACGTTACAACTGGGTTTACTTTAATTTTTCAAAAGCTTTTGTTCTAAAATGTTGCTCTAGAACTCTTGTTTTTGGTCTAGGCTTCTTACCCAGTCTAATTTTAGGTTTCTTATTTCTTTTAGGAGTGAAGACAATGCTAATATCAGCATTCCTTTGTTTGCTGCTATAAATAATGCTTGAGTTACGACATAATGAATCGACTGGGATTATTTCTTCTTGAAGAATTTTGACTAACTCCTCCTTGTCTACTTAAGCTTTTGATTGTTATTGAGTTATTTTGAGCTGATATTTTTGATCTCAGACAATTCACTTTTGTCGACTTGTCTATGTAGGGTAGAAAAAGATGATTACTTTCCATTTTAATTTATCTCTTTGACTATTTTATTGTATCAATTTTTATATTTTAATTAGGGGTTTTGGGGTTTTGGGGTTTTGGGGTTTTGGGG